TCATCACACACCTTACCCACAGAGCACCCCTCACACACCTTACCCACAGAGCACCCCTCACACACCTTACCCACAGAGCACTCATCACACACCTTACCCACACAAGATCAAGTGGGAACCTTGGTAGGCTGAATCTAGCTGGTTCCTTCTCTAGGCCTCCTTCTGTTTGGAACAGTGCTCATCACACACCTTCCCCACACAAGATCAAGTGGGAACCTTGGTAGGCTGAATCTAGCTGGTTCCTTCTCTAGGCCTCCTTCTGTTTGGAAATTCCTGGTCCAATTAATAAACCCTGGAGAAATAACTCTTTGTTTTTTAGAAGGTGTAATGGCACACGCATTCAGAGGAACTAATTGGCTTCAGGCGCATCTAGCCTATGGCTGTTACACTCCCAGCTTATGCTCATTGAGCTAATGCTGTGACTGTGTCCCAGAAGTAGAGGGCATCAGCCTGGCACCTCAGTTAGCGCAGAGCTGTTGGGAGGTGTCTTTCTTGAGGCGTGGTCATCCTTAGACCAAATGCGGAACAGGAAATATCCTAAACTGGATAAGATATTCTAATGCCAGCTTCATGGGCGGCCACAGCAGGATTGAAGTTCAGGGCCAGCCTGGCATTCTCAGTTAGTTCAAGGAGAACTTGAGGCTATGGAGGCATTGGGAGACCCTTTCTCAAAATAAAAAGGGGGTGGTGGACATGCTGTGGACACTCCGTGACAGGGTGCTTACACCACACATAAGACTCTGGGTCCAATCCTCAGAGTCACTAAAAGGAGACCCTAGCTTTCAGAGAATGATGTGTTAACTTTTATTAAAGGGAAGTTACCGTCTAAAAATCTGAGAAAGTGCTCTCTAGGTCACTGTGGCACAATAGGAGTGACTGACTTCTGTCACTTTCTCTGAGGATTGGAGAAGCAACCTTCCCATGGTGAGTTGCAGTAGAAGCCAGCATGAGATGCCCCTCTCTGTGGTAATTAGGGATGTCACAATTTATTTTCATGGATAATCATCTGACTGTGGTTGCTGTTGTCGTTGTGCAGATGTCAATGAGTGTGCCTTTCAGAATCATGGCTGTACTCTTGGGTGTGAAAACACCCCGGGATCCTATTACTGCACATGCCCTGCAGGGTTTGTTCTGCTTCCTGACGGGAAACGATGCCATGGTAAGCCACAGCAAGTCTTTATTGCATCCTTTTATTTTCAGTAATGTCCCCAAACTGGCTATGAGCCTGAGCTACACAGAAGAGCTTTGTCTTAAAAACCAACAACCATATGCATAACTAGACTCTAATACAGGCCTATAAAAAAAAACAACAGGCCGAAGGTCCAGGGTGAGGGAAATAATACTATATAAACATTATATATATTACCTAATGGTTCACTGTGTTTCTCTAAAAGAGAGGCATATAATAAACAGTCATCATACATTATTGCACCTAAAAATTAACTATAATCCATGTCTTAGTTAGGATGTTTTTATTGCTGTGAAGAGACACCATGACCATGGCAACTCTTATAAAGGAAAACATTTAATTGTGACTGGATTACAGTTTTAGAGGTTTAGTCCATTATCATCATGGTGAGACATGGTGGCTTGCAGGCATATGTGGTGCTGGAGACGGAGCTGAGAGTTTTACATCTTGATCAGCAGGCAGAAGAAGCAACTGTGTACCTCACTGGGTTAACTTGAGCATAGGAAACCTCAAAGCCCACCCTCATAGTGGTACACTTTCTCCAACAAGGCCATACCTCCTAATAGTGCCACTCCCTATGGGGGTCATTTTCTTTCAAGCCACCACAGTCCCCTAGTGTAGTATCTGTCAGCTTTTAGATACAATCACAATACTACTGTCACACCCTTAAAAATTGACAGTAATTCTTAATAGCATCAAGTACCATTTTTTCTATTACCTTCTATTATGAGATTGAATAAAAAAACAGATAAAAAAAAATGAAACTTTCGCCGGGCGTTGGTGGCGCACGCCTTTAATCCCAGCACTCGGGAAGCAGAGGCAGGTGAATCTCTGTGAGTTGGAGACCAGCCTGGTCTACAAGAGCTAGTTCCAGGACAGCTTCCAAAGCCACAGAGAAACCCTGTCTCGAAAAACAAAAAAAAAAACAACAAAAAAAAGAAACTTTCAAGTCCACAGAAGCTTGTGCTGTAGAGAATGATCATTGAAATTATCTTTTAAAAGTCCTGTACTTAATGGGTTTGTTTGAATAAGTGAGTGTTCAAATAAAGATCAGGTGTTAACTTGATGCAGCTGTCTCTTACAGATGCTTATTATCCCTTGTATTCATTAAATTAACTATTTTTATGTACTCCAAGGTTTTTTTCTTTGTGGCTTTTGTTAATTACACTTTTGAAAGGTCCATGAAATATTCTACAAAGTTGTAATTATATCCATAGACTACATTAGATTCAGCATTGACATTTCTTGGTCAGAATACATTTTAAATATATTTGTACTTCCACCAAGATTTAGATAATGCCCTGTTGTTTCTTCGTGTCATGAGAGTAGTCAGTAATCATTCATCCCTTATAAAGTCCCCAGTCACCTTTTAATAATTATTTCCCAGATCTATTATTTTGTAGTTTCTAATATTCTTGTCTTGTCATTTCTTTTTAATTATTATGTAGAATGCTTTTATAAAGAGAAATTTCATTAACAACTTGCTTGCCTAAGACAGGATCCTTATAGCATAGGCAAGATAAATGTGGAAATTTGTATTTAGAGGACATAATTTGCTACTGAATTAGTCATTTCTAAGTTTGGGGGTCATCTTACTAAAAAAGAGACACTGAAAACATTGTAAATATCTATGGGTATCCCCAGTGCAAATCTAGGACTGTATATTCAGAAACTTTCTGGCCTTGCTTTCTAATTGACTCTGTTAGCATGACTAATGTACAGATGCATGTTTGAAATCATGTTATTATGTAGTCCTGTTTCACGGATGATGGAGAATAGGTGTGTCTGTATTCCTCTGTGTTTATGAAACCAGACTCCTTGAAATTGATGGATAATAAATAATGAGCTACTTGGAAATTACCGATCGTCTTTGCATGTCTGAGACTTCTATCCTATTAGTAAACATCCTAAAAGATTGGATGTAAATGGGTTAGCTATAGGGCCCATCATATGCCAACAATAACATATACAGTTTTATTTAATTCTTAAAGAGTCCAGAAACTTTATGATACACATTTTCAATTTCAGTTTTTAATGTACTGGAATTAACTTTGATGCAAGGTATAGAGTAGCATTTAAGTTTGCTCAAACCACTCTGCAGTTATTTCTATATCACTATTGGTCTTTTACATGCTCACCCATTTAAGCTAACACCTACAGCACAAGCTTATGTGCACCTGAGGGTTTTATTTTTATTAATTTTGTTTTACACACAGTCTCGTTAGGTAGGCTTGTGTAGGTTGGCCTTGATCTTGGAGTTCTGCTGCCTCAGCATCTTGTGGCTGGGATTACAGGTGTGTGACATCATTCCCAGTTGGAGCCTTTTCTAATCTGAGTCTATCCTGTTCTGCACTAATGTCTTCTGCCTTTTCCGTTCCCATTTCCCAGTGTTCTGAAGTTGCATGCTATCACACATAAGAGCTGGACTCCAAGCATTTGTCATCTGACTTAGTACTTGTTAAGAGCCTCTCTTCCCTTCCTACATGTAATCACACATAAAATACCTTTCCTTCTTCTATCACATGTCAGTAGTCCTCCAGGAAAACTTGAGAACCACTTGGTAAAATTCTACATAAAATATTTTGGAATTCTGATGACTAACAGCTTTTAAAATCTTATTTGAAATAGGAGAAACTCCTAGGATATAGGAGATATTTTTCCTAAAATTCTAGCTCTTTGAATTGTTTGGATTGATATTTTGTTCCTTGTTTTTATAGTTTCTGTACTACGGCATCTCTTAAATGTTAGATTATTTATTCAGCTTCTTCCTTTCAGAGTAGCAACTGATTATCACAAATTTTCACTGCCCAATTTTAACTTTAATTTTGACTTTGTTGTTCCCTAACTAGAACTTACTTCCTGTCCAAGCAACACATCTGCATGCAGCCATGGCTGTGTTCTGACATCAGACGGTCCCCTATGTGTCTGTCCCAAAGGTTCAGTGCTTGAGACAGACGGGAAAACGTGCAGTGGTGAGTCTATTTGCGTTTTGGTGACTTGACAATATGAATCCTCTAAGAAACACCAAAAAGTTAACCTTATTCCCAAAGCAGACTAGATTTTCCAATCATCACATACTGAAAGGCATTTGTGAAACAGATTAATATGTAAATTTGAGGGATTTTTAAGACAGCAGAGTGGAGTGGTTTCTGTAACGTTCTTTGGCATTGTTAGTCCTGATATAGCATTAGCAGTTCCTAGCAGTGTGGTGTAAACTGCTCATGTGATCTCAGTGCTGTCAGGTGGATACAGAGTGCTCGGAATATTGTTGGCAGCTAACAAATATCCCTCAGCTTTCCTCTTCCTAGAGACTTCAGCACACAGAAATCTGGATGGAACTCAAGATTAGCAGCAGAGTTTTTTTTTTCTATTTAGAGAATACTTTATTAGTTTTTGTAATCAAACCCACATAGATAAGACCTTGCATATTTAATACAGTAGTAGCAGAGTTTTAAGTAGTTCTTAATTGTTTAAATAAAATACTCAAAAAATGAAAAAAAGTAATCGGTAGAATTTAGTATTACCCAAATCTAAGATTGGAAATAAATGAAATTAAAATAGTTGATAAGCAAAACAAACAAACAAAAAGGCAAAAGTCAAGAGGTCAAAAATATATGAGATAGAAAAATTGTATCGCTCTGCAGGAAGAATTAGGGTACACACAAAATGCATTTCTTTGTCTAGCTGGCTGCCAGTGCCTGTGTTCTTGAACTCAGTGGTGGATTGCAAGGGCGAGGCCCATTGGAATGTGAAGGGTTAACATCAAATAGCTAGGTTCTAAGGAAGTGGATACTGTGACATTTTCCTCTAAACTCTGAAAATTAAGTGATGGCAGCAGTATGAACAATTAAGAAAATGGGTTTAAAGGGAAATAGGTTCATCAGAGTATTTTTATGAGAAATTGTTATATTTTGTGTGATATAATATCATCACCAAGCAGCTGGTTTTTGTAGGTTGTTCATCACCTGATAACGGTGGGTGCAGCCAGATATGTCTTCCTCTCAGCCAAGTGTCCTGGGAATGTGGATGCTTTCCAGGGTATGACCTACAATCGGACCAAAAGAGCTGTGCAGCGACAGGTTAGTGTCAATAGCTGTTTGAAAGTCTGTCCTTGAAAAAGATGACATAAAAATAGTGTTATGTTAGAAGTATGCCATGTTGAATTACCTTTAGATTCTTGGTAGAAAATACAATTTTAAAAAATGTTGGAAGTGGGAAATAAATCCTGTGACTATGAATAATGTAAACAATTAAAAGGTCAAATTTTTGAAGAATATTTATGCCCGCTTAACTAAGTGGGTATCCAGCCACTTAAAGGGTATGATATTTTTTAGTAGATGAGAAGGCCATCATGAGACTGGTCTTAAAGGGCTTTATAGTTAAGAGATGTTTAATAAATATTTGTAGATTGATTTGATTTTGATCTCTCTGGTAAATGTAATAAATAATCATAACACTTTGATAAGTTCTGTCTTGTTCCTCAACTTTAATTTGAAGTGATTCTCTTCATCTTCTGATACATCTTTTGTGTCTTTTGCCACCCTTAGGAATCCTAGATTTATGTCAAATTGATTTGTCTGTTAAGGTTGATTATACTGATAATCAGAGATGCTATGATTCTGATTTTGTAAAGCTTGCCTAATTTTGACCCCAATATTCCTAACTCCACAAGGTCTTGGTAATAAAACATAATAAATCTGGAGAATGATTAGAGGGCATTATAAATTCAAGGAATCATGATTCCCTTTGAGAAGAGTGCCCAACAAGGGAAAATTAATTGGTGAATTTAACATGTGTGAATTGAAGGAGGTTACAACGAGAAGACTCAAGTCATTTGTCTGTAGTTTGGGTTATTTAGTCTTGCTCTTTCTATAAATAAGGACCCAGGGATGAAATCTTGGCAGTGACACCTCGAAAGAGATGGGGAACTGAGCAATTAAATAGGGGAATAAAGGAAGATTGTGCAGTGAAAAGCAAGAGTCGGAAGTGCCATGTATAAAGCATATTTTAAATTCAGCCATATATGACATTTGGTTAACAGGACCACAGCCATTTTTACTGTTTGCAAATTCTCAAGATATCCGACACATGCATTTCGATGGAACAGACTACCGAACTCTACTCAATCAGCAAATGGGAACCGTTCTCGCCCTAGATTATGATCCAGTGGAAAACAAGGTACACTTTTTATTTTGCATAAACAGATATGAAGGTGTTGTTAAATGACTGGGGGATTTTAGCTTCACTGATGGCCTGGGCTACTTGAAAATCCTCTGTCATGCTCACAATAACCAGACTGAGAGCAAGTTAAATATATATATCGGAGGAGCCTCAAGGACTCTCGTGTTATGATAACCCTGCCCAGTCCCTTTTAGACCTCTTACTGGGGGAGATTGTGCAGTGTCCTCATTTCACTTTCCTCTCTGGAAGTGCAGGTGGGAGACTAGCATGAAGCTTTGCCCATAGAATTTGCCCAATGAGTAGGTTTTTGATTTTTTACTAGTAGCGGGAGGAGGGTGTGTAGATAGAGTTTCTGTCCTGCCTGGCCCCACAGCTGTTTAGTCCCAAATAAACACACTGAGGCTTATATTAATTATAAACTGCTTGGTCAATGACTCAGGCTTCTTATTGGATAGCTCTCTCTTAATTATTAACCCATAAATATTAATCTATGCATTTCCACAAGGCCTTATCTGACCAGACAATGCCCAGCATCTTATCTTCCCAGTAGCTACATGGCATCTCTCTGGCGGCTCCCCTCTCCTTCCTTTTCCCAGCATTCTCCTAGTCTGGTATGCTTCCTGCCTGGCTACTAGCCAATCAGCATTTATTCATCAACCAATAAGAGAAACATATTCACAGCATACAGAAGGTCATCCCCCATCATCAGTGGGTTGGGGCTGGGGTGTAAGAAGTATGAGTTAGTAATTGGCATTTGATATGTCACTGGGAGAGGGGACTTAATGACTTCTGAACTGTGAAAATCAGGAAACAAGCTTTATGCTTATGTGAAAATATCGGCCTAACACATAGCATCATTTACAGAGGTGAGAATGAACTTAAGTCAGGTGGCCATTTGCCATTCTTTGATTAGTGTTCTTGTTTTCTTGCTACTCAAACTGTGGTCTTTGGCTCATCTGGAGCTTATTAGAACTGCAGCATTCTAGGCTCTACCCAAACCATTGAAGTAGAACCTGCATTTTAACAAAGTCCCCAGGTGATTTGTATGAGAGAGAGATTAAGTCACTCATGTTTACACATCTTCGGAAGCAGCATAGTCTGTTCCGTAGCTTACATCTTTGGCCTAGAGAGCACTTTGCACCTGTAGAGTTGGGCAAGATGAATGACTCCAGATGAAAGGAATGTTAATAAGTATCTGATCTAATGTCCTCATTTCTGTAGTCTGGAAAATTGAGGCAGTTAAGCAAGTATGTGGTAATATTGACAGAGCATCCATGTTTTCTGAATTGACCTGAAGTGGCGCACTGGGGGCTGAACCAATGAAGATACAGCTCAGCTTGTGTCCCTCATTCAGTTGCAAATCACAGCTTTCTGTCCAGCAGAAGGAACTTCTAGGAGTTGAGTATAAATGCTATATCGTTGACCAGTAGTCAAACATAACTAAATTACCCGGGACTGCGTGTGTGTGTGTGTGTGTGTGTGTGTGTGTGTGTGTGTGTGT